CACCGGTTGAAGTTCAAGAACTAAATGAAGTTCAAGAACAGGTTAATGAACTAGTCCCAAACCAAATTGAACAACCAGATCTAGCACAAAGTAAACGGGTTGTACAAGTACCTCTTCGAAGGTCTACATGAGAACATCATGTACCAACTAGATTAAATTTAATAGTACAAGATGATGTATCAAATGAGGTTGATCATAATGATGATGACCCTAAGACCTATGAAGAGGCTATACAAAGTTCTGATTATGAGAAGTGGGAAAAGGCCATGGAATCCGAAATGGAATCCATGAAGGTAAATAAAGTATGGACTTTAGTTGAACCTTCAAAGGATATAAAAGCTATAGGTTGTAAATGGGTTTTTAAGAAATAAATTGGAGCAGACGGAAAGGTGGAGACCTACAAAGCCCGTCTTGTTGCCAAGGGATATCGTCAGAAAGAAGGAGTCGACTACAACGGGACGTTCTCTCCCGTGGCAATGCTCAAATCTATTCGAATTTTGCTTGCTATAGCAGTACACTATGATTATGAAATATGGCAAATGGATGTGAAAACAGCTTTCCTTAATGGTGAGCTAGAAGAGGATGTGTACATGACAAAACTTGAAGGTTTCACATCTTCGTCTGATCATAATAAAATTTGCAAGCTACTAAGATCCATTTATGGACTAAAGCAAGCTTCTCGAAGTTAGAATATTCGCTTTAACAAGACAATTGAAAAGTTCAATTTTGTTAGATGCGAAGAAGAACCTTCTATGTACAAAAATGTTAGTGGGAGCACAATTATATTTTTGTTATTGTATGTTGATGATATATTGCTCATAGGGAATGACATACCGGCATTGCAAAGTACCAAGATTTGACTATCTGAATAGTTCTCCATGAAAGACTTGGGAGAAGCAGCTTATATATTAGGAATAAAGATCTATAGAGATAGATCTAGGAAGCTGCTTGAACTTTCCTAGTCTTTGTACATTGATACCATCTTAAAGAGGTATACCATGGATAATTCCAAAAGAGGCTATCTACCGATAGGCACTGGAATTACTCTCAGTAGGGAGGATTATCCTAAAACACCTGAAGAGAGAGAAAGCATGAGTAGGATCCCATACGCTTGTGTAGTGGGAGCAATCATGTATGCCATGACATGTACACGTCCTGGTGTGGCTTATGCACTTGGAGTGACTAGCCGATATCCGAAAAATCCTAGTGAGGAACATTGGAAGGTGGTGAAGACCATTCTTAAGTACTTAAGAAGGACTAAAGACCAATTCCTCATCTATGGAGATTCTGAGTTGAAACTTAAAGGTTAAACTGATGCAAGTTTCTCTTCAGATAGAGATGATAACAAATCTATTTCTGGTTATGTATTCACATTAAATGGTGATGCAGTGAGTTGGAAAAGTTCCAAACAAGCTACAGTAGCTGATTCCGTGACTGAAGCAGAATATATAGCAGCTAGTGAAGCTGCTAAGGAAGCTGTATGGATGAAAAAGTTCTTAACTGAACTTGGTGTGTTTTCTTCGATAGAAGGTACAATTCCATTGTTGTGTGATAACACTGGAGCCATTGCTCAAGCAAAAGAACCAAAATCACACCAAAAATCCGAACACGTTCTGCTAAGGGATCACTTGATAAGAGAAATCATTGGATGTAGAGACGTCTAGATTCAAAAGGTTGATGGAAAGGAAAATGCTCCATACCCATTCACTAAAGCTCTTGGTGCAAAGGAGTTTGACAAGCGCAAGTGAAAATTGTGAATGAAGTACAAGAGCGATTGGCTCTAGTGCAAGTGGGAGATTGTTAGGGATATAGTAGATATGCCCTAGATCCAATCTCATATTTGATGATTTGAACGTTATTCGATATAAAAATATATGGCATTCTTTTATCATAGTTATTATTAATTGTTTGATTAATTTGATAAGGTTCTTGATTAAATTTTGAGACTTGTCATCGTGATAGAGATCATGATAATGAGAGAAAAGTCTCTTACAACTTAATCTAAATTTGTTCTTGATCGTAGGATTATTAATTTGGACATTAGTAATCCGGTTAGATCAATATTTATGTGATCGCCTTTATGGAATAAAGATTAGTTGATCTCATTAACTAAATCACATAGATAGATGATGCATATAGAGATATGATCATTGAACCAACTCATTGGATAATTCCTAATGGTTAGAATTACCATAAACTGTCAATAGGATATTCTCTTGAAGAATATGATGTAAGAGTTTCCTTTGACCTGAGATCGTCATAGTGATTGACAAGTTATTTATTGTGCTTTGATACTAGACACCTATGGCCCTAGGGCGATAGTTGAAAGGATATTGGGTACGATTAAATACTTGTAGAATTAGTGATAGATCAAGATGGAATCTGTCAACTCTTGGTAATGAGTTTAAGCTCCATGTTATCATGAATTATAAACGACCAAATTAAGACTTTGGCTAGGGCAATTGAATGAAAGAAGAAAAGAGTTTCTTAGGTTATTCAATGGTCGATTATACTTGACATGAACACATAGTTGGTCGCCTATTAGGATTTGATAGTTGAACCATATCCTAGGGTGATCCAGAGCTATAAGGACAGAAGGAATTACTACATTATTCTTCTACTGGTTCTTGAGAGTAAATTGTATACTCCATGCTATCCGGTCGTTAAGGAGTGTTGTCAGACGCCACCCTTGATTAGTATATTGATGTGATCAATTTACTACCGGTTTAGTATTGAACCTATGGGGTCGCATACTAACGAGTGTTCTGATCTTTGCTAAAGGATTAATTAACTTATTATTTGATAATTGAATTAAAGAATTTAATTAGTCAAATAAATAAAGTTGTTAGTCCAAATGAAATATTATTATACTCTTTGCTAGCACAGAGATTATAATTAATATTGTGAACGAATTGAAGTTCTCTTTTGAAATAAAAAATTAAATTATATCTTTTGTTTGAAATATATAATATAAAATAATATTAATTTATATAAAAGTTATGTATATTATATTAGTTTATCCTCGCCAATTTGGAATTGGAGATGAAAGTCCACAAAGGACTATGGCATGCACGCGATTCCCATTAGGAATGGGATATATATTTCCATTGCAAAACTCCTATATTGTTTAATTTGGAATTAGAATTGTAATAAGTGAAAGTCCAATGTTGAATTGGACGAATAGGCGTGAAAGTCCAATTGGACTTGGCATAAAATACCTTCAGTCACGTTACCCTTGGGAACGTGATTCGATTTCTTCCTTAAAGTTTATTTTTAAATTAAACTTTTACTCTAAATAAATTATTGCTTCAACTAAATAGGAAAAGGGTTTGTAGGTGATGCCTATATAAAGAGTGATGGAGAAAATTTGCTGCATAATTTTTTCTTGAGAAGAAAACCCACTTTATGAAAGTGAGAGTGCAATACAAAGCCAAGAGAGAAAATACAATTACAAGAAAAGCGTTTCTTGTTCTTCTAATTTAAGTTGAGATTTTTGAGAAAATTTCAACACAATACTCTTCGTTCAATTTGTTCGCGGATTTCATTGATCAAAGAGCTGATAGCAAGGATCGGTCTCGGTGTGGATACGCATAGAGTCTTCGCACTATCGAAGAATTTGAAACGAGACTTTCTTCACCGGATACGTTTTAGATCCGATCTTTGACATGTAAATACATTTTAAACACGAAAAGATCTGCCTAGGATTGTTATTGTCTTCCGTTGCGTGTTACGAACACCTATACACAATCATTCACTCCCGACTGCACGTTGGACTCACATTGCACCAAACAGAAGGAAAAAAAAAACTTTGGTAATTTAATTAAGGGAAATTACCAGCTATGTTCATTTATAAGTGGCTCATTACAAAAATTGGTCAATTGATAAAATATTACTAATATTAGCCAAATTAGCCAATTAGCTATTTGTAGCAAACTAATATCAAATTTTTGCTTTGTTTTGAGTGATTGTTATTAGAATAGATTGGGCACAACTTAAAGAGCTTGAATCTCAGTTTTGGGATGATTTGGTGAAGTTTTGAGGTGGTTTGAATTGAAAATTCGAAGTAAAAGCTGAACATGAAAAAAAATGATGTGTACCACACTGTGTATCATTTATGTATCACATATGTATCATATTTGTATCAATTGTGTATCACATGTATATCCATGTATACATGTGTGTGAGATACATGTGTGATACATGTTTGATACATGTGTCGTAAAAGACTTTTTTTAACTCGATTTAATTACGAATTTTGATACAAAACCAATCCAAATCACCTCCAATCTTCCTCAAATTTTATATATTGACTTATCTATATATTTTCAATGAATTTCAATTATACCCATTGAAAAAGTTCCTTTTTTTTTTTGGAATATTGTATAGATTTTTGTATTTCATCACCTTATTTGCTACCCCGTCCATGAAATTTCATTTCCGTCTTGTATCTAATGTTGCTAATCACGCTTAAAAATATGGAAGGTAATTTTTACATGTGATTCTTTGATAGAAAGAACCCTATTATTTGGTTTTTCAATTTCTGTTAGCTAGTTTTGGTAAGTCTATGACTAATGGTTGGTAAGTTGAGATTTATTTGGAATATTTGTGTAAGTTTCCCTTTAATTAATAAGGCACCAGAATTTCTAAAAGTAACTACACTAAGGGGTCGTTTGGTATGAGGTATAAGAAAGTATAAGGGTGGTATAAAAATTTAATATCACCTTAATACTCTATTTGGTTAGCAAACCAGGGATAACTAATTTTAACACTGAGATAACTTATACCTTATAGAATGTGGGGTAATTAACATCGGTATAACTAATATCTTCTTAGAAATAATGCAATTGTCATTCTTAATACAACATACCAAACAATGAATAAACAACAATCCCAACATAACTAATCCCAGCATAACTTATCCCAATATAACTTATACCGGTACAAATCTTATTCCAACCAAACGACCCCTAACGGGATAAAACTAGGCCAAGAGACTATGAAAATCCAACTCCGTAGAAGAGTGCACAAATTTAAAGTTAGTCGATCAATCTCTGCATCGTGACTACATTTCTCATAAACATACTGGAAATACACAATTCAGTTATCAGTAGTTTGCTACAAAATCAGTTGAAATGACTAGCTATGCTACAGCATAATTACAACAGAGAAACTGAGCAATAATTCATTCCGCATCTTTTCTTCAAATCAATCTGCATCTTTTCTTCAAATACATCTATAGTGAGCACAGGTTGGAGTACATGCTGGTCTCTTTTCTTGCATCCACAAAGCTCAAATCAAATGAAACATCCATAGCTCTCTGCAGCATGCTCCCTCTTAAGCCGCCACATGACTGTTCCCTTGGATTGATTAAAACTAAAACCATCACCTGGTCATAAAAAATATATATTTTGAGTGGTTTGAGATTTACCAAAAAGAAATAAACATGACAGTCTGCTATCACATAGAGCTACAAGGTCTTTGTGCCCCTGGACAAATGGCATCTTGATGTACCAAAAAGAGACAAGACACTGTTTTCTATCACATAAAAGTGCTTGAATTTGAGTATCTCTTAACAAATGGCATATTGATGTACTGCTAGAGCACGGCAAGGATTGCTTGACAACACAACTGAATTTATTGATGACAAAAGGCAAACTTGATTCCATTTCCAAGCCACAAATAATATGAAGAAAGCCTCTAAACTAAAACTCTCCTTTTTTTCTTTAGACCAGCTTCTGCACCTCGACCAATCTACTGGACAGCTTGTTTAACCAACAAATACAGGTTGTGAAGAAAGTTGTGCCTACCAAGGTTGGAGCAGTTGAGCTCACACCAAGTGTTATAATTGAGATTGGAACCTCAAAACCAAATCCTCTTCAAGCTTACGTTTCCTTTAGTAGTCAATTGACAATATCAACTATGACTAACCCTTGAAGATGTGCCCTAACGGTCGAATAGTTGGACAACAACTTGGGAAACAAGGTCCAATTCTAGTACACCAAGTGAATTCTTCTCATCTGTCTTAAGTCTTGTTCGGAAAAGTTACTTAACACCTATGCTGATAGAAGGTAACAAGTACATGATGAATTAGACGAGGTAAGTGCAAACTTACCTGGACACAACGGTTATCCAGAAAAAACATCAAGTATGACTAACATGCAAAAGCTATATGTGAAGACAAGGGAATCTACCTTGATCTAAACATGTTCTCAAATAATTTTGTTTCTTATTTCTTCAAGCTTTTTCAAAATCTCGCCTGGTGTTCTGTCCAACTCATCTGCAATTTTGCGCTGCATATCCATTGGCAAGGTTGGGAACTGTTCGCACAAGTCTCCATCTATCACATCCTGCAAAACGGTTCCAATATATCACCATTATCATCAACATTAGATAAGGATTGAATAATCAAGGTGATTTAAATATATGAAATAAAAAGAGCATACACTCTTAATGGTATCATGTAATCTAGTTAATATCAGACCTGAAACTTGTAACAGTTTCAGCTAAAAGTGCATAATTCAACACTCGAAAATGCAACCTAGGCATAAAATCAACTTGGTAGACATAGAAACAGCCTGTGGCAACTTAGAGTTGCCTTTTATTCAAGGATGCACAGCACTTCAAAATAGTGAAATCAAGAAAAACATAAACATTCACAAGGCACACTAAATTGCTCGTTGTCAAACGATATAGCCAATGGAGGACACAACTACTTAGAATCCATGATAGCACAAGCCCATTTGCTGTTCTAGAACTGCTCAATGATTTGATTATCCAGCCATTTTATCTGTTAAACATTTTAATTGGGACCTAGGGCAGAACAGGATAAGCTTACAACCAACCAAGTCTTGTAAAGTAGCTAATGACAAATTCCCAGTTTCACTTCAGCGTTAATTTAGCTTCGCAAGGTAGTTTATTTACATTCATTTGCTACATTAGCGCATCTCTGCTACCAATCAGGATGTCAAACTAAGTAGGTAAATACCACTTTCCGCATTGGAACATTAAGGAAATAGCTGATTGAGCAATACAAGCTTACCTTAACCGGGAAGTAGGCAGATCTGTAGGCCATGTGATCCCTGCCACATAAAGGTGGGAACTCCTGCCTCAAATGCATCTCCAAATGAGAGAAGAAGTCAACATCATCCCTCGAGCTAAATGGAAGCATTGCCCCGACGCTCCCCATCACAGTCCCGTAAATTACACATTCACCCCCTCCTGGAATAAGTGATGCTCTTTGCAAGCAAGAGACCACATCACCAACATGAAACTGCACTATTTCCTCAACCTTGTTTGGGGCTCCATTCAGCTTCCCTTGCTCCCATTTTATTTTTCCACCAGTAGGGTCTTCTTCAATCTCATCTGAGACATCCTGAGGTAATCGCACAAAGTAGATATTCCCAAACTTGTCAGCTCCTGCCACTGTGTCAAAATCTACATGCTGTGCTGCGGTTAGCCATCTCGGAACCGTGTCATCAGCAAATATGTACAGTTGATTTTCATCACGTCTATACTTACAGTAGTGGAATGACTGCAAGAAGAGAACAATTTGAGCAGATCAGTAGAAACCAACACTTCATAAAATATGACATCAAAGAAGACTATTTTATAAGAATCCGAATAAATATTCCTGTCAGAAAATATCTAACTTAACCATCAGTCTACATTCTATGGATTCAAACAGCCAATACAGTCACTCTGTAGTAAATTAGTATAATCAGAAGAAAGCATCTAGGCAATTATGGACGTAATTATCATGTTGGATAACAACATATAATCATGCAACCGAGATTCATTGTGCTACTTCGGGACGGGGGAAATAAAAAACCTTCAAATAGTTATTTTATATGGCAACTTTAATTTATAATAAAAAAACTTCAGTGACAGCAAAAGAGTATTAGTTTCAGGCTATCAGAATCTATGAGCTTAATTAGTTTTATGAGGTTATAACAATTTAATGCACAGAATGTTCTAAACACAATATACCATTTCATACTTCGCAACATTTCCTCCAACCATTTCTACTGCCTCAATTTCTGCTGATACTCATACAAAAAACTTTCACAGGCAAAATATCGCAATAGCTCATTTCTCAATGGCTAGTCACTAGAGTTTTTTATTGCAAACCCCCAGTCATTAGATTCAAATTATGTCTTTAGACTAGAAAGCAGAACAAACCTTCTTGGATATTTTGAGACAAGAGGGGTTGCTCTGATGGTAAGCAACCTCCACTTCCAACCAAGAGGTTGTGAGTTCGAGTCTCCCCAAGAGCAAGGTGGGAAGTTCTTGGAGGGAAGGATGACGAGGGTCTATTTGGAAACAGCCTCTCTACCCCAAGGTAGGGGTAAGGTCTAAGTACACACTACCCTCCCCAGACCCCATTAAGTGGGATTATACTGGGTTGTTGTTGTTGTTGTACTAGAATGCAGAACAAACCTTCTCTATCACAAATTTACATCGAACAAATATTATCCAAAGAGAATGTATTACTTCAATACTTTTATGTTTAACACAGAATATTTTATAATTATCATACCTCTTGCATGTCACCCACATAAATCCGATCACGATAGGTATGGATAGATGTGATTGAGTTGGGGAAAAGCTTGTTCTCACATTTTCTGAGCAGTCTTTTCTTCCCCAAATCATACAACCTAAGGACAGACCCCACACCAGCTAGTAGTCTTCCTTGGAACTGACATAATGCAAGAGGCACACCATCTACCTGTGTCTTGTGCAAAAGCTCAAGGACCTTCCCATCTTCTTTAAATTTGTATATATGAATGTATGCTGCTTCAAACGATTTTTTGGGCCAAAACTGAAGGCCCTTGGCAGTACCAACAGCTAACAGAGCTCCATGCTCCTTGTCATGGAAATTAACAGTGCATATGCTAAACGCAGCCTCATTATCCTGAAGCTCTAGCAGACAAGTGGTTTGTGTTGACCTTGGGTCAAGGACTCTGATGCAGGAAACCCACCTTCCTGACTCCGACTTGGGATATCCATACTGTTCATCAGATAGTGGATCATTACCATCTTCATCTTCACCATTCTCCACTTGTTCTGCATTTCCATTTTCACCATTCCCAGCTGTCTCGAAGCACTCCTTTTTGGCAGCTTCACGCTCTTCCGCAGAATATGCTCCCTGGTCACTCTCTATCATTATCACCATCTTCCGTTTAGGTTGAAGAACAAACCTTCTTGGTGTATACCTTAAAGGTACAGCTGTTTCATTGAAAGTTTCGCCCAATCTCTCTATCGTGAAGACCCTCAACGCATCCCCAGCAACCGCTACTACACCTTCTGCACATTGATCCGATGAAAATGAGGCTGCAAATTCAAGAGTCTCATATGATAAAGGCGTCAAAAGAAAATGCCCTTGGTGTATATAACCTAGCCACGGTCTACTTGACAAGCAAAGCATAGCACGTCGTCCTCTCACAACAATGGAAAAGAGCTTAGGGGCTCTAAGCCCCAAGAAACGTGAACGTGCATCTGAAAGCTGCCCAGTTATCATATCCACCACAGTCCTGAATAAAACCCCATTTTGTAAACCAGCATTAAGAAAAAGGCTGGCAGGGTGATCTGCACCATCTTCTCCACCAATAGAGGCCTGAACTTCAAGAAAAAGGAGAGACTCTGGCGGTGAAGATACACTTTGCAGGCTCAGAACCTGCATACAGTCATCAGGATCCAATGACAAGATACGAATAGTGTTATCATATGAT